AAATTCTGCATCAAACGAACCTATTTTCGATGAACGTAATTTCGATACTCGCCGGTCTTTTAGATCAAGCACTGATTTTTAGGGCTGTCAAAAAATAATTCAGATTTTTTATATTATCCGATAAAATAATTTGAAAAAAAATAATATTATATTTGTCATCAATACCATTAGTTCTATCGAGTGTTGAACTTGGCCATTACTGTAGCTTTTATCACTCATTGATTGACTTCATTATGATGTTGTCGAGGTATATTCAGCCCGATAGATTCATATCACATTGCTATTGTTGCATCTTTCTGATTAGACGTTACTCGTTCATGAATAATTTTTGAAACGTAACTATATCTAGAAATGACTATTTATGATAATGGCGTTCTTCAACATAAGATGTAGCTATAGAAAGAATTAAAAGATGTTGAGAATAAACGCAGCACTGGTGCTAGAATTGTTGTCATATCCTAATTTTTATCTCCTTGTTAAGTATTCCTAGCACAATGTAAACAATGAATTTATCTCTCACGTTTCAGATGAAGGATTTACCTTTATTACCAATTATAAGCTTTGAAAATGTAACTATTTATTACATTTATTCGTAATGGACATTCTTCTTTTGAGTATTTGCATCTATTGAAAAAACGAAATGTTTCGTACTAATGTTGATTCAATATTACAAATAGAAATTACCGATCAATACAATAATGTTTAACGAAAAGAAATTTTAACTATATGAGTTATATTTACAGGACAAAAACATAAATTACACATCTTATTATCACTCAGCAAATCATTTCATCAAATTCATCTATCTCACCTATATATAATATGTAAAAATACAAGAATTTCTTTGTTAAGAGTACAGGAATAACATATATATATATAAATCAAGAAAGTGTGAAATGTGTCAAGAACTCATACAATCGAAGAAACTAACAAAAGTAATTTTTTATATAGAAATAAGCAAAAAAAACTAACAATAACATGTCGTTCAAAATATTATATAAAAAACTAAAATATTTGACAATAGATTTAGATTTTATCTTTTAAAAACATTGTATATGATAAATTCTGACCGGTAATACGACTTCTTTCTTTTCGTGCTAAATAAGAGGATGATGAAAATGCTGATTCTGTAGGTACACTAGTTGCACATGCTATTAGATGAACTTTAGCTAAATGGGACAATAACAGCAATCTGTCTTTGTTTGTTTTCCAGAATAGCAGTGCTGAATTTGATGATGGTTTGACAGTTGTATTAAATTGTGCAACAGCTAACTTGAATTGTTTTAATTCTTCATTAATACAAATACGTCTACTTCTTTCTTTAACATTACCAACCAACATATTGTCTTCTTCGCCACACGCGGCGACAAATTCATCAAAAGGATGTGATTTTGATCGAGCATATTCTAATGGTTGCTGTGGTGTTTGAACAGTTATTATTGATGGTACTGATGAAGATATAATAATCGTCGATGAATTTGTTGAATTATTAGTTGATGATGGTAAATCGAGTGGATAAATGTCATCAGTTATTAATTCTTTTATATAACGTTCTATTTGATGTTTTTCTTTTTCACTGAAGCACAAATGTGCAGCTGGATCAAAGTAAGCAAAACACTAAAAAATGAAATTTACAGAATATCATATTAATAGATTATTTTTCAAATACGAAATGTTTTTACGCTTCATTGTACTACAAAAGTATTTAAAAAGTTGTTATGATGTAAAGAACATGCCACCCAGTGAAAAAATGTTAGATTAGGCCAGATTATAATAGGATTTTTTGCAACAAAATCAAAATTATAATCGATTGAAATCTTTCAAAATCAACGATAATCTGGTTTTTTAATCAAAAATAATTCTCTAAATCAAGTACAATACCGATGAAAATTCAAATTTTAATCGCGGTTCTACTTGATTCAGTAGAAGTTTTATTCAAATTTGAACTTTAATCCAACATTTTGCTTGATTTTGAGACTTTTTTTGGATTAAAAAATCAGATTATTGTCGATTTTAAAAGATTTCAATCAATTACAATTGTGATTTTGTTGCAAAAAATTTGATTGATAATCAAGCATAATTTGGCATTTTTTCACTGGGTAGCCTTATTATATAAAATCACGTCTCTAGCACTACATCATTATATGGATTTAGACCCGTAACATAATCTGATTTTGCCTAGAGTTTTGGGTAAATCTAATAATAAACATATTACAAGATAAGTATTTCTGCATTTTCAACACGTTGTAATCTTCTTCTGTAGCTCTGTTTCAAACGCAGCGATTACAAAGAAAAAAAATTACCGTTCTATTGATTGAATACTCGAGCTCAGAAAAAAAACACATTCAAAATAGCACTTTAAACGTTTAAAATTGGCAATATTGTCTTTTTATCAAAATTTTCTGTTTTTTTCAATGCTAATAAAATTTATATTTGAAGTGATACCTTCCAAGCATCTAATAGTACGAGTACTTCAATCATACATTATTTCTGTGAGGTATTGATAATCTGGGAAACTTTAATTGTCCTGTATGAGATTTTATCATTAATTATCAAAGATCTAAACCAACATCTACAATTTGTGAAAGCTATCATTATATATTACTATTTATTAAAATTTTTTGCAGTCTAATTGTGGAAATTTGCGACATTTAAACCTAGTTCAAATGTTGATGATAATTCACTCAATGAGATACAACTGCTTTGTACATGAAAACTTATATTGTATTGAATGTAAGTAGATTAGCAGCTTATTTCTTACTTTTAATTGTTGTAATTGTTCATCATCATAATAAAAGTATTGATTCAATTTATCAAGTAATATCTTTTTTAATCTTTTTATTTGTTCATTACAGTTTTCACTATTGTTACAAAACCATTTAATTTTGTGAATTGCATAATAAGACAAGCCGACGGTAGGATAATTTTTTCCGGACATTATATTCGTTGCAAAAAAGAAAGGTTTCAGTACATACTGTAATGATGATAATAAATTCCAATTTTCATTATTTAATTCAATAGATGATAATTTAATAATTTGTTCTTTACCTAAATCTAATGATTCTTTTTCACTAAATAATTTAATAATAACAATTTTTAATTCAATTAATGCATCAGCTAAAACGAAAGTTGAATTCCATCGACTTGGACAATCGTTATTAACACTTCTATTTAATTTTAAAGCTTTTTGCTCTTTACGAACAAAGTCAGCTATTATAGAAGATTTATTAACAATTTTAGAAATAGCACGACATTTTGTTAAAACATTGATTATTAACTTTTGTTGTTCCGTTGGATCAACAACATCCTCAACGACATTTGTCCAACTATCGTTAATTAATTCAAGATTTTCTTCTTCATCAATAAGTTGTTCATCATTAAGTAAACCTTGTTCTTCATTATTTTTAGGTTCATTTGCCATATTATCATTAACTGTTGTTGTCGTATCATAAATAATATCAGATTCATTTATTATCCATTCACCTAAATGAATACAGCTTACTGAATTTAAAATAACTCTTTAAACAATTTTTACTTGAAGAAAATATTAATAATTATTTGTATAAATATTAAATATTACTCATAGATATATATTAGCATCAAAATTGAGACCATGCCCAATTTTGGATTCGTCTAGGCAAATCCAAGATCAAAAGCAATCTCACACTCGACGCTAACATATATGTGCAGAACAAAATGGCTTACCTTCACTTAATTCGTGATCCCAATTTATATCCATTTCTTCATCTTTCTTCTAAGTATCATCGGTTATTGTAATACTAATCGTTGAAACATTTTTAGTTGAATGATTATTTAATTCATTATTTAATTTTTTTTCTGGCATCCAAAAACCAAAAGCATTTATCACTACAAGGTGCAATCTATGAGCTCAACACCAAAAACGAAAAATTTCATCATTTAAAAGTTCACAAGCTAAGACTATATTTGGAGCACCATCAGTAGTAATGCATAGAAATTTTTCATATATATTTAATGCAATTAATTTTTCCTTCAAAACTTTTGCAATTTCAATTGCTGTATGTCGAGTATTAAATGATGAAAAATCAATAATTTTAGAAATAGGATCAAACGAGTTAGTCGTCCAATGACCCGTTATACACAGAAAAGATTCAGATTTTCTAATGGACCAAAAGTCCAATGTTATACTTAGTCGATAAACTTCTTTTAATTCTTCTTTCAATAGATAATAATGATGATTATATAAAAGTTTTAAATGTCTTACAACTTGATTTCGGTGTGGTGGTATATAACCTAAACCAAAAAAATATCTGCATTATAAAAATGAAGAAATAATATAAAGTTCTAGTAAATTACTATTAATATAACACGAACATTCTTTATCCCTTATATCTTTATTGTACAAAACTAGTTGAAAAGATGTGTGCTTGAGAGTAAACGTTTATGGACAACAGAAACTATGTTGGATTATTCTATATCAATTTTTGTAATAACATAAAATAATCTAGTAGTAGCAAATACTATCATCATCAGTCTCATTAACGAAAGACATTCTATGCATGATGAATTTCTAGACTAAGGCAAGTAGATTATTTGATATTTGTTCAAAACAGTTTATCAAAGCGTTTCGTATGTTTCACTTTTGAGCAGGGAAAAATTTACGTTTGCTGGTGGCGGTTCATTCTTTTTGTGGTACCCGATAAGTGTGAATCAACAGAAAATTTATTATCTCTTAGAAAGGGTTTCATCGGAAAATTATTTCTCAGAAAAAAATGACGGATTTTTGAAGATGCTATAATAATCATGTTTTTGAAGATCAACTTTTCATTCTTTTTAAAAAAAGTAAAATCAGATTATTTAAATTTAAAAATTAGTTTTGTCAAAAAAAATACTAAAGGAATGAATTTGTTTCGAAATACTCAACTTATTTTCAGAAAAACCACGAAAACAACATTTTCTTTAACGAAAAAAATACCTGGACAAAGTTTATTTATTAAAGCCGTAATTCCACGTTTATTTAAATCGTTAGATGGACGACTATCTTTAATAATTGCAGCATAACATAATTCATGTAATTCTTGTTTTAAAGCTTGTGATATCATAATTTGCGAGGAAGCTCGTGATGATTTTAATATTAAATCAGTTTTATTGTGTTTAGCAATGAGATGTTGTCTTATAGTTGATGTAGAATGAGAATGACATAAACAAGTAAAATCACATAACTGGCAAGCAGCTTGTTCACCATTATCTGATTTCTTGGCATATAACCACACTTTGGACACCAAATTTTTAGCACCAACATTTGTTTCTAATGGTGATGGTTGTATCGACATATTAATATCTGAATCTGTTTCATTTGAATTACTAATATTTGATAACGATGAATTTATATTTGTATTTAAATGATAAGCAAAACTTGATGCTGATGGAGTATGTCCTTCTGATGATGTTGATCGATTGCTTTCATAATTAATACTATCAAGAATTTTATTATGTTTGTGTATGTTTTTTGATAAATGTTTTTGTTTCATTATAATAATAGTTGAGTATATAAATTATAAGTGATATAAGATCAATGGCACATTCAATGAAGTTTTTTTCTAAAAAAAAAGAATCATTTATATAATTTATTCTTTCGAAAATATTTTCCATAAATATAGAAAATGAAAGCCTGTAGGTTTATCGACAAAATTTGTGTCCATAATAATAGCAATAAAATAAATAAAACCTAAATATTATATATGAGCAGATCAACAAATGTTCATGCAACTGTGTGGAAATAATATTAAATTAGCAATTTTCGTTATACAATTGACTCATTTTATTTTCTGTTTCGAAGTAAATATTTGAGAACCTGCGCGTTAGGAAAGAAAAAAATAAAACCACAAAAGCCCGCTAAAATAATACGTTTTATGTACTAAAATATAATGAACGAAGAAAAAAATAAGTCGTTACAATATATTGAACAACCATCATTTGCACCGAAAGAGAACGAAAAAATGTTTTTTTAACCTTTGTCATTTAATTGAATTAAATTAAGAAAAAAAATACAGTAAGCATGTAGCGTTGATAACATGTCGTTAAACTATTATCTTCATTCAACATACGTTAATATACTTACAATTTGTCGATCATTTGTCCTAATCAAACAAATATCAATCTCAAATTGTTCGAATTCTATAAAGTTAAATTTAAGTTGCTGATTAGTATAGAATTCGAATTCTAAACAAAATCATGATCTTAGTTTGAAATATAGAGATTGTGTTCGTTTGAATTCCAATTTTCAAGATCTAGTTTATTTAGAGTTTCAACTATAGATGATGAGTTGAGTGAGCAAAGCGATTTCGATCGATTTCACTAATGAATTCAAAAGATGCTTGTTTTATAAAACAAAAGACGTGGCACAAATTTTAGTAATAACTAAATATACATAAATTGGGCATCCAAATATCTGTTTCAGTTGAAAGCACCTTCTAGATGTACTGAGTATTGTTAATTGAAAGCAAAAGTTGCTAAAAATTCTGACCAAGTAGAATAAACAACTAATTACTAACACTAACAATACCCTAGTTGTTGATTTATTTCTATTCAAAAATTTTATTTGTTGAAATATTATTGAATTCAAGTATTACCACTTCATAAAATTACAAACTTTTTTCTCATCCTATTTGTGAATAAAGATTTTTAAGATTTAATTTTAGAGAATCAACAGGTGATGTGTTTTATGAAACTTATTTTGAATGAGGATGTAATTAGGTACGTAAAGATAACAATGAGACATTGGTCTACTAAGAGTGATTCTACGAATATGCTCTTGAATACTAACATTCTATACCGATGTAATCGGAAATGCGTTAATACAACGTTATTGTAACAGACTTTTTGTATTTTCAAATACTTTTACGTTAGTGGACGCCAGCTGCATGAAAATGCCAGCCATCGTTATACTTTACATGCAATTATTGTCTTAATCGTTAGGCTTACTGTTGCATGCCTAACGATTTCA